GATAGAAATACCATTGGACACTCGACGAGGCCAGCTAGTTTGCAATCGCTTATATGACCGTCTATGTATAACGAAAAACTGCATAATTTGCCTTAACGGTAGAGACGGTAATTGCATGAGTTCGGGTACGGTCTATCTGATCTCTTGTGAAACGTGCGGGGACGAACACGTTGGCGAAATGGGTAGACCGCTCTGCGTCCGCATAAAAGAACACCTAGTCGGTAAATCTAAATTAAAACCAAACACTCCACTAGGCGCACATAGGATGCAGGAACACAACGGAGAGGATTTTGAAGTAGGGGTCACTATCCTCACGCACGAATCAAAAACATCAACGCGTAAAACCCTTGAAGCGTTTTGGATCAATTCCAAAAATTCAAAAATGAACCGCACGGAGGAAGTGTCTTGTCATCACGCGTGACCTGGCGCCATACTTTAGGCTAATTCAATGGCCTCACACAGACACAGTTATCGCCCATGTATTACTCTGTGCGGCTGCTATCCATCAACTAACTTGAATACTTACAACAAATAAACGGTAGGGGTTTAAATGAAGCTGTTTCTTATGCGAATACAAATTTATTTGTTAAGTTTTATCTGCTGGGGTTATGAAAGTGTTTGGTTAAGTAGATCGCATCTCAATTTGACCTTTCCAGGCTCTGAAGAAGGCGAAACCGCCGAAACGTCAGCTATTGTATCCTAATAAATCCTATAATAACAACCTCGTGTCTGCTTATTGAAGAAAAACATTGAATTATCAATCACTGCCGAGGTTAAAAGAAAATCGATCGTGGGAACTTCCAAATGGTTTCCACCTACTCCATACTACATTCGGAAACATCGCCATCGGCAGCATATTTGATTTAAAAAACACTGTCACATGCATATGATCTGTCTCCATCGTTATCATAATGTCCTTCTCATTCCTATTTTACGCAAAACAAAAAACTTTCCACATAACGTTCTTCTCCACTATAAACAATTTTCCTTGTTGCGGTACAAGGCGGTTTCAACGATGAACGAAGGAATTTCGAAGGATTTGAAGTTCCAAATAATCGACACTAGAAATATCGAGAATTCTTCCATTAAACAGAGAATTCTCTACCTACCTAACAAACAGATTCTATAAGTCGACATAGACTTCATTTGCCATAACGCCCGCGTGCGTGCCCTACATCCACGTCCTATCTTAGTCACCGGGCACGCCACTAAACACGGCATCTCGCAGCCATCAGGCACACCACAAGGCATGCTACTGGGTACGCCTCATTGCTAGGACCCCCAGACTAGACCCCGCGATCCGAGCCTTGACTCGGCGAGCGACGTTAATCACCTGGACGTAGCCACGCCCACTAGCACGGTCATTTGGCTTCTGACAACGCCTTGGAGCTCACCGTTGCCCTTTCCTTATCATTACTTGCTCTCCCACATAATCCTTTCATTCACAACTCCTCCGATCCACATAGGCACAAATGATGTTAACTAAAATCTGTAGTGACTCCCACGTCCGACTTTCTATTAACCTCGGCATTGATTGAACAATTCTTTCCACTTCTGCTCAGCAAACACGGGGTGCTATTCTACTTCCCCACTCACGTAAAAGTTGACGTTTCGGCGGATTTCGCCTTCCTCAGAGCCTGGAAAGGTCACGTCGACAGCAACCTATTCGGCCAAACAACTTCGCAACCAAACAGAGAAAGCGCTAAACCAAGATTTCAATCACATTGAACACACCTCCGCACACTCAGCGCTTTCTATGAGTCTTCCACTGAGTATGTCGTGTGAAGACTAACCGCAAAGAATTCACCTCGAAGCGTAATGTGTCCCTCCCATCAGAATAACAGGTTTATATACTGTCCAATATCACGCGTGATAATGAGGTATTCTTCCCAGCGGTTCATTTTCGGATTCATGGAATTAAACCAGAATGCCTCTAGAGTTTGGGCGCTTGTGTTCTCGATTCTTGCGCGAAGATCGTAACCCTTCAAAATCTTCTCCCCTACGTCTCCGCCTCCTATGCGTGCCTAGTGGAGTATTTGGTTTACGTTTGCCGACTAGGTGTTCTTTTATACGTAGGCAGAGTGGTCTACCCGTTTCGCCGATGTATTCGTCTCTGCACGCCTTACAGGAGATCAGATAAACTATACCCAAGCTCATGCAGTCACCGTCTCTACCATTGGGGCAAATTATGCAATTTTGCGTTGCACATAGGCGGTCGTATAGGCGGTTACGAACTAGCTGACGTCTTAGATTACTCGGTAGTATTTCAATTATCGTTACCGAATTCTCTACCATACCAACCAACCATAGGTACCAACCATATAGGTATGGCGGTTACCATAAGTACCCCTACGATAACTCTAGCGACAATAAGGTCCCGTTTATACCGCCCTTCATTTCAAACGAAGTAAGTGCAGCTATAAAACGCTGCTTAGGAAAAGCCGGTCTAGAGAATTCGGTAACGATAATCAAAATACCATCGAGTAATCTAAGACGCCAGCTAGTTCGTAACCGCCTATACGACCGTCTACGTGCAACACAAAATTGCGAAATCTCTGTTTGGTTGTGAAGGTGTTTGGCCGAATAGGTTGCTGTCGACGTGACCTTTCCAGGCTCTGAGGAAGGCGAAATCCGTCGAAACATCAGCTTTTACGTGAGTGGGGAAGTGGAATAGCACTTCGTGTTTGCTGAGCAGAAGTAAAATCTATAGCTCTTGCATTTCCAATACATTAATGCTGTCATCGATTCTCTTGGAATTAATCCATGTTGTTAACATAACAGTTTTGGTAAATAGTTTCATCACTCACAGGTACTCTACCCAACAATTCTTCATTCTTATTGTGAAGGCATTCTTGCTATCGCTATTCACATTCTTGCACTGTGAGCATGTAGATCTTAACTCTCTTATAATCGTAGCAATATTTTTACATAATCAGTATTTGCTAATTACTCACATCCTCATTACACCGTTATTAGCGTTTCCAATATCACAAGCTCACATGTGCTTTCTAATGTGCTAACCTCTTCTAATGTCGCTGCTATACTCTCCGTCACACTTATACAACTAAATCACTCCCTTATCCTAAGGCTAAGTCGCTCTATAATCTGTACCTAGCCTTCTATGCTTTACCTTCCCCTCAATAAGCAGCATAACGGAGCTGTAGCAGACTGAATACTGTTATTAGTGCATCTCATTAATGACGTTACACTGGCCTCTATATTAAGCAACTGTATATTGTACATACATTTCTAGCCTCATTGTACTGCTGTGGAAAAGATATGTATGTACATAAAAGTTCAATTACCCAAGTTTGAGGTTTTGCAGCTCACATGACTGCGCGGATAAAAGTCCCGCGTAGCAAACCAAAGAAGTCGAGCATTCCATCAACAGTTGGCGGATAAAGAACAAACCCGACCAACAACCACTCCTCTACTACTGTATATTCCTACTGGGCCAATCAGTGCAAGAAATACTCAGACTAGAACTGCACGGAGAAATGTCATCTTGTCTGACAACATTCCACCCAAGATAGGAGGAATTTTTGTCATTTATTTAGTCCACAGCATGGCGTCCAGATGACATTGTCGAACTTTCAACCTATACCGATTCTGTTGAGGAAGCTGGTTCCTCTTCAACTTAGTTTACTCTCTTAAGGTGATGAAGATTTCGACACTCTTGAATACCTATCAATATGAGAGCTAAACTACTAAAAGAATTATGACTACAAGGAAAATGATTCAGGAAAAACTATGATCCTATAATGGTCGAATAATAAAAGTCGCTTTTCTGATAACGGATTTCACATATATCTTAGATGCACTCTGGACATTCAAATGGTACGCTAAACAACATGGAGGTGTGGACAGCGCAGCGAGTTCAGGACTGCTAGAATAGACACTGACCAACTGATTGATTTCTGCGCTCGCTATTTGACCCAGCGAAATTGTTCTTCAAGCAAAACCAAAGAAATACTTGTTGTATTACTAGATAAGAAGAGCACCAGTAAAATAAATAAGCTATACTACGACTTTGGTAGAAAATTTACCGTTGTCTCCCATGAAATAGTTCATCAACAAACAGCCTCCAGCAAGGAAATATCCTCCACTAAGTACCACGCGACGACCTACCCTATAAGGTCACCCAGTTATCAAATTGCAAATTCCACTCTGTTACTTAAAACCGATTAGTAAACCTCACTGTAACATTCAAACACTTACCTATCAATAAGCAGCAGTACTAAAATGAGTGCTGGGATTTCTACACTGGCCGAAAATATAAAATTTATGTATATGTCGCCACCAAGAGCATTCGGTTTCATTGCCATTCCATAGTACACCAATGAGACAACAGGCCTAGATAGTAGAAGAGAACCTTCCTGCAGTAGTTATAAATTCACCATCTTTAGAAAAAATATTGTCTAAATTAATGTAAAGATGGCTAACTTATTCTGTGAAAAATAAATGGAAGAGTAAAACCTTTTAATGCAAATGCTTTAGCCTATAATACTTATTGACAAAAGGAGGACTGCTTCAAAGGTTTGAAGCAATGTATGTGATCAGATTTCTACATGCGAAAACGATCAGATGACAAGTTCACCACAACCGTGTGTTCAGAGCTCTTACAAAGCAAGTGATGCTGCAAAAATTTTAAAAAGTGTAGCTTTATAATGCGACTTCAACTTCGGACCCGATCTTCATATTTTTCGGTTTCTTTCAAAAACTTGTCCAATGTCCGTAACTTAAACAGAAATTCATACTCTATCGAAAGCTCGACGTTGAGTAAATAATTATCATATACAAAGATAAGTCTTGCACAAAACTACAAACGAACAACTTATGACCTAAGAGAAAAAAGAAGGGAATAGTTTGCAAATATAGTCGAAAGTTTAACTGACATATTTAAGACTACCAAGAACAGCAAGAAACCACCTCCCAGAGCATAAGGACATCAGTTTTAAATGCGACTATTAAAGTAAGTATTAGTAACAGTGTTAGCCGTAGTCAAAAACAAAACATACTTTCATTTTCAATCTCCAACTTACCACAAGAAAAATGTGACAAGGGTCCGCTTTCTCAACACCGGTGTCTTGAATAGATCCCACATCTTATACTTCTTCACAGTTGTCTTGTTAGGTTCACTTTCCATATCGAGCTGCTCCCACCTAGATAAAGCGTTTTCATTACTTGACTACGTGAAGGTCAACTATAACTATAGACAAAACGGTAAAATCAGTACTATAACAAAAATTTTACTTCATCATGCTTCTTTCTGCAAAAACATAGTTTTGTAGTGTTTCATCGAATGATGGAGTTGTTTTTATCATTGGACTACGTCAACGGCAAGTATAACAAACAAAACCGTCCAATTCTAGGTGTATCGCGTCTCTATATTATAAGCATTATTTAACATTTCCAGTTCTGCTTTTCTTAGACCCAAAACAACCTAATTTTCTGGTGTTCACTTGAAACATAGCACTCGAAGGCCGATCACGTATTTCGACTTCGCCATAAGGCAGTTCGATTCTGCTCTAAACCAGCTATGTTTCTTAATGAAAGCAAAATTAAGCAAAAAAAAAAACAATGGCAGCAAACGGTTGGAGATTATTTTAGGCCACTGCTACTATATAGATACTTTTTTACTTCTCAGATAAACTATGACTCAAACTAAACTTTGCTATGGAGCGAGTGAAATCTTGATTTACCTCGGAAGAAAAGCCCAACACCTCTGTTAACTCACTATCAACTCAGTAAGGCAACATATAATAACGGAACTAAAATTTTAAACTCAGAACATAAAAGAACAACAAATATTACCAATTCTCGGGTAGTGTTACGCCATTCATTTTTGCTGCTTCCTGCAATACTTTATCAGCATCCATATATTTTCGTTGAGTCACCAACCAACGTGCACTTTCTGGAACCAACCTGAATGACGAGACAACTCTGAATGGAAAAGCTGCTTCTTCTGTTTTATATAACTAAATCATTACAGCACTTCCCACATATCTTCTGTCTACAAGCGATGAAATTCTCGTTAGACATACAACTATGGGAAAAGTTGGAACAAAAAACGACAAGCTATAGAAAGACAGCGTGCCACGTCCACCTTTGTTATAACTTTTAAGACTAAAACTGTTTGGCCCAGTGCAATGCAAATAAATTAAAAGCACAAGAACGTGCAAGTACACTGATAAAGACATTTGAGCTGTGAAGTTTCTTCAAATAGTACAAGTGGATAATCTACCGAACCCACCACCAATAACTAAGGAAAAAGAATGCCGGTGAAACTATCGCCAATTGCAGATAACGATAGTCCGTAAAAAAATATCCTTCAATGCCGAGAAGGACCTTAAAATAGCTTTCCATAGAGATGGAACGCTGTATGAATTCAACGACACCTTACAAACAACTGAAGATATTCACCTGCCCAACTGCAAAAAATCCACCAGTAATCACAGATGCCAACTTTCTATATTGCGGCCCAACTAACTCCATACCGATTACAACCGCTATCACGAATATTCCCGGATGAGAAAAACCCAGTCCAGCGCTAAAAATGACAGAAATAAATCAAAAACCAAATTCCACTTTTCTGATATTTCTCACCATGCACTTCATATAAAGATGCTATACTTAAAGATACATACCGAAACAAAGCAAACAACCACCACGACGGAGCAGCGACGGATGTAAGTCCACAGAATATTTGCACAAGAATAGCTATGAAGAAAACCTTCTTACGCCCAATCCTACAACAAAGAGTTCGTTGTTCGTATTTTCTTCTAAACATATTAATCACACAACGCGTAGTAGAAAGCGTAGCACAGTGGTTAGAGGTTCTCACCAACACATGAAATATTAGTCCGATCCCACGCATAGCATTCGCCGAACCATCCATCCGTTCAAATTCGCGAAATCAGTATGAGTTGTGTGGGAGTGTAAGAAGAAAACACTTACCTGACACATTTTTGACCCCACGCAAACCAAGTATGCGTTCAATCACTTCTATGACACTTACCGATCAACACCAAAAACGTTATCCAACTTACTGAGCACTATTACTAAGCAATTTCACGTCTTATGAAATATCAACACATTGCCTGGCGTGATCTGCTCTTGAAATGCTTCGGAATTCATAAAAATAAAAAAGATGATCGAGGGTTACCCGCAATAAGTAATCACTATCGCAATAATGCTGAGATAGTTGCAAAACTCCGGACCGCAGGTACTCACGGTGAAGAATGAACGTGCTGTTATCCTTTCCGGGAGCTAGCGCGTTCACCACCACACCATGCGGGTCTTTCGTTTAACCTGCCTCTCAGCTAATTTTCTATTGATCAGTGCAATCAGCAATCACCGGTCAACGAGACTGATCTAGGAAGCCCAAATCGGCAACAAACCCAGTTAAGCCGACTCTGTACTCGAAATCACAATACTAACTTGTTAATTTGCTGTCTATCACTAATTCCCATGCTAGAGTAATGTATCGTGATTGTGCAAGGACCCACATGGTGTGGTGGTGCGCTTGCCTCCGGAAAGGGTAATAACATGTTCGTTCCCCACCGCAGACACCTGCTGCCAGGAGGTTTGCAAATATCTCAGCATCGTTGTCGTCGTATCACATACCTTACTCTGCCATAAAGAACAGTAATAGGCAGTAAATCAAAAAGTTAACATAGTAATCACTATTTCAAAACTATCAAACAAACAATTCATGAACAGCCCCACCGAGGTAAGCAAGAATGCGTGAAGATCTTACACATGGCAGCTCGAGTTCTAACATGACTAAAAAGTATTACTAATGAGAAAGCAAACCTGTCTCCTAGTACTCCGAACACCATGGAGCCTATCATCTGACCAACGTAGTAGAATGCTTGCACCGTAGCGCGGATCCATCCACGTGAACACGAAATATCGAACTAAGATATGTCGTTATGTGAGAATGTGACAACGAACACTTAATAAGGAGTGAAAGTGTTTTATACAAAGAATGCAAACCAAATTAAACATGCTTGAGAAAATATAATTGTCATACTCGATCCACTGCTGAATAACGAATTCTTGAGCGGTCGTAGACGTGGACGATACAGTCCTCACCATCCAATTCGCATTCTTCATTGTAGTAGCACTGTTTAAAAATAGAAATGAAATCCGGTAAACTGTTACAGAGAGTATGTTTAATGAATCCAGTTAAAATCAACGCTAAAGTCAAGTTTGTACTCTTGATAGATAAAAAAAAAGCTCGGCGTTGATCAATCGCTAAGGAATGCGCCATGGATTAGACTTCATTACGTATCGTTGGAGGTGATCGAATGCATATTTGGTGTTTACAATGTTTACAGTCGAGGTTGTCTACCGATGCGTCGAGCCAGTGCTGCAATCCTCCCAGACAAGCCTGAGAACAATTTGCTGGCCCTGGAGGGATGGAAGTCTTGGTGAACATGGGCTGCAGAGATCGATCCCATGTGTACTGCAGGGCGCCTCCGACCACTGCGATTTAAGGATGGAGGTGAGAGATCTTAACAGATAAAATGATAAAATGTCGCTGAAAATGCTTTTTTTTCGGATATGATGCTACGTTCTTCCTTTCCTTTTATAAAATATGAAGATCCCACACAATATTTTCAGTAAAGTGAGATGTAATGCACCCCATACGCTTCGCAATATCAAAAATGCATTAAATGTTAGTTTCAAAATGATCAATGTACAGCGGCTGAAGACCGTCAGGAAAGAAACGGTGGGAGGATAATAGTTCCGGAGGTCCTTAATCGATGCAGATAGACAGGAAATCTGGACAGGCGGTATCGCACTAGTTGAGAGAAACACAGACCGAGTCATCGAGTTTGGTTCACACCTATTTTACCACAACAAAAACGATTGTTTGTCAATCGTCCGGGTGACGTTCGACGAAAAAATGGATTGTCTGACAATGATCACTGAGCAAATCTGAACTGCTTAAACATTCGCCGAGTTAAATACGCAATAGAAGTTACAATCGTTTTCTTCAGATCATGAAAAGGAAAGAACCAATATAAAAAACGATGAATAAGGGCACCAAGAGCTTCAACATCGATGAGTGTCGTTGTTTAATCAGTAGGAGAAATTCGATTGTTCAGTAACGATCAATCACACATGTATAACTAGTAATACAAAAGTGTCATGAAAAGCCATGAGGAAATCTGCTACATTCTGCGTACTGTTGTCAACCTACTACCATTTTCTAAAGCAAACCGACAACGACTTTCATGAAAATCTATTCAATGACTGAGTCGCTGCTAAAAATGCCTTCAGAAGATCAGTCGGCTTTGGAAGCCTAGAAGTTTACCGTGATGGGATAAAATTTGTCTCATTGACAATGACGTGTACGTTTTAGCAGTTCTATTTCGTTTAAAAAGCCTGGCTATGAACATGAAATGTAAACCACATTTTATAATGATTACATGTGTGTTCATCCCTATGGTTCACCGCCTCGTCGTGGCTGGGAGTTGTTCCTGGATATTGGGTTACAATGTACAGTGGGAGGATCCATCCCCAGAAAGGTCTCCCAAGCTGAGAAAGATCAGGCGTTACCATCAGGAAGCCTAGCTAAGTGTTAACCAATATCAGGATCCACCACTGTCCTGGTATTCAACTAATCGCATAGTGGCGAATCTCCCTCTGATCCACAAGAGTGGCGACTACTTGGGGCTGTGACGACCTAGGGCAGACTTTGGTTAGGCCGATCTCGGGACAGCAGGAAACACAATAACTAAACCAGCGAAACTCCGAAAAAGTGGAAATTATACTGGGCCTGCGCAATCAGTGAGACGGCTATCCAAGCATCCAAGTAGGTATGTGTGATGCAAGTAGTTGAAAGTTAATATTTGCAAAAACGAGTTAAATTTCCAAACAAGTAAGTCTATGAACGTACGTGTACTCCTGGAATGCCTGATTCACTTATTGGAACAGGCATGTCTTTCCAGTCTCTACATTCTCTAATTGAAAAACTGGAGTCATTAGTGAGATATGGTGATTCGTGCGCCTCCAGAGGTGAGGCACATCTGAAACAATACATTCTGAAACAGTGATTGAAACAATACGAAGATTTTCACCGGTCAAGTTGTCAGCATTAAAAAGATCCAAAAGATATAAAAAGGAAAGTTTCGCGTAATGCTATTGGCAAATTTAAAGATACAAAGGTATACTTGTTTCACATGAGAGGCAAAGTATTCATAGCGGTTTCAATAGTAAACCACATTTGGATACTTGGATACCTAGATGGCCTGTCTTCACTGGTTATGCAGTTCTCAGCACAATTTCCACTTTTTCGGAGTTTTACTAGTTTAGATATTGTGGTTCCTTGGATTTCCGAGGTCAGACTAGTCAAATCCCGCCCCAGATCGTCACCATCACAGGCAGCTGCCGCGTTTATGGATCAGAAGATTTGCCACCATGCGACTACTTTGATACCAGCACGGTGAGGAATCCTGGTATTCGTTTACTCTTAGCTTGGTTTGTGGTAGAAATATCGGACTCCTTCCCAGCTTGCGAGGATTGCTGGGGAGATGATCCCACCGCTAAACATCGCAGCCCGACACCCAGGAACACCTCCCAGCCACAAAGGGGCGCTAAACCGTTGGGAAGTAAGAGTGAACCATAAGCACTCTGAAGTTTATTAATGTTTACGATATCTAAATTTGCTATGTTACCTGTTCTAGAACTAACCTAAATGGGACAGGAACGGCAGCTAACGACCAACTTAGCGCGTGCATTGACACAATGATAGTTGGGAGGCATACAAGTAAGAACTGAATTTTTTGGTATCTGAAAAGACCAGCACGAAATAAGAAAGGAAACTCTGAAAAAAGATGACAGGAATATAAGTAAAAGGATGAATTTTACATAGCAAAAAATGACAGAAGGAAGGAAAAAGTCGACGTACCTGCCCATTTCTCCTATATAAGAGAACAGAAACTCGTCGAATTTCATCTTCACTTAGAACAAATCCTTAAGCCCCACTCCCGCTTGAAATAAAAATCACAAGAGATAAAGAATTCGAAGAAAAAGAAAGACCATCCGTTGGAAGGAAAAAACACGGAAATAGAGAGAAATTATGGACTTCTGTCAAAAATACAATGCTTATCATCAATAATTAGCACAGGTTCTGAATAGTAAGACGAAGGAATGGGATGAAAAACTTTAAGAACAAATATTAGGAAGTGTTCCTTCAGTACATTAGTCAAGAACCTGGTTTCTCGATAACGGAAGACGATTTCCCACCCGCCAGAGTATTTAGGTAGTTCAAAACCCTTATAGATTTACAAAGCAGACTTTGTTCTACCGCATACAAGACTTCTATACGGCGAGCTTTCGAAGTTAAGAAGCCCTAGAAATGAAAATGCCAGAAAATTTCATGACGAAATCTTTTTATAAAGTTATAAAGTTTTCAATGGAACAGTGGCAGTTGGAAACATGAACGTGATAAATGAGAAACATCTGTTGACCTGCGGAACGAAATCCCACTTGTTCATTCGTTGACGAGTTCTAAATATGACCTTTCAAGAAACAACAAGAGGACTTTGATTCTAAAGTCAAACTTTTTTGGATTCCCAGTGCTTTTAGTCCAATCAATAAACTTCACCATGATCTGATTTGTGTCTGTTAGAGAAGATCAGCAGTTATCGTAAATGTGTTAGAATTCACACCACCATAAATCTTCTTCCCTTCTTTTTTTGAAGTAAGCGCCTTCAAAATCGATAAAGGAAGCAAAATGAGAAATGCACGCTCCAATGAGAATTCGGCACTTAGTCACCTATAGGTTGTCTTTGGATTAATCAACATTTTCACGATGATATCGTGCCGTGCTCTACATAGCAGGAGTAGGATATGTGTTTTGCCTAAACCGTTAATAAGCTAAGTATCCCTTGGTATTTTTGGCCCTTAATCGAAATTTACCTGTGGTATGACGTAGAAATGCCTCGTACATTCTGGTTTTCAATTTCTATGGCGTCACAATTAAGAAATAACACAAATACATTGTATAATCAAGGATCATTCTGTAACGATTGGTTCTGCGTTGGCATGTAGTACACCTGACCACACCTCCATCCAAAATCTTCACTTGGATTACTTGAGAAATAACTGACTTAAAGTAAAGTTTATTTCACCTTAAGTAGTAAGACTGCAGTTATATAAAACAAGTAAAGCGGGAAGTGAAGCTTATTTACTAACTAAACATGCATTACAAAAGCTGATGTATGACTTACTGGCATAGCTGGATGGTCCATCTTCACCTACGAGACAACATAGTCGCTGCTTATGACGTCCCCTCACGATTGTTTGTGGAAAGGCTCAGCTCAGTTCGCTTGGAAACTATGTCCAGCTTCTGTGATTCAGCTGCTCAAGGTTCACGACAAATGTACATTTGCAGATGATCTCTCCTTGTAGGATTTTTGATTCGTCAGCTCACCGTTCCTCTCATCTGTCCATCAATTGTTGATTCATCACATAAGTGTCACATACATGAATCTGTTTATCCAAATATCTTGTAGGTCACGAAGACAGAGTGTTTTTCGACAGTCTGGACTAGAAGTTCCGGCTTTGTGCTATCTTCACTAGTTGTCTTCCAGGAGAAATAGGTTGAGCATTCTCTGGATGATCCTGAGAATTCTCCGTGCGCTTGACTTGTCAGCGTTTGTCTCAAACCTAGGAGAGCTCTGGGACGGCTACTGACCGAGTCAACCAGATGAGGAACTGTGATCAGAGTTTCCATTTGGTCGATGGCTTGGCATAAACGGAGCTTATTCTGTGTTCGTTTCTAGTCAGACAACCATCTACCTAAATCCATCCTCCATTCTGGGATCCGGGAAAATGGGTTTTCTTTTCCACTTGTTTGCAGTCCAATTCTTTATGTATTCGAGACCGCGGTTCCGGGAATATTTCGGTTGTTAGAGTAGCTGAGTACTTGAGAACTTACAGATCAGTAGAGGAAACCCTCCTGTATCGTGTATAATTTTACAAACCGTCCTTATAATTTTGAATTTGCTCATAATCAAATTTTTCACCGGGTTGAAAACAAAATTTTAGTTGGAATTTCCAAAGCAAGTGTTATAGACAAGGCAGCAACGGTACACTCCAATATATCATCATGTACTGCTAGATGAAATTGCGCTCGTTCAACAGATTTGGCCCTTGAAATGAACAACGAAAGGGAACAAACTTTGCGGACATCAGAGAGCGGTCCTGTGTCATATACTGGCTGTTTAGCTTTTGTTCAGTACCTTAAAGTACGGCTTAACCTGAGGTTCAGTTGCCTTTTACTTCCTTTTCCACCAAGTGATACGGCAACATTCTTTGCGTGAAAAAATGAAACCTGTAACATTTTCTCTGTCGGGGAACGACTTTTTTCGGAGTCCTCTGATCAATATGCTGCGGCGTTGATTCATTGATCGTTCATAAGTGATCGGTTGTTATGGACTAAAATAGTTTTTCCATCTAACGACTAGATTTCAGGCAGGACAGCTGCATTTGGTGTTGAGTCTACTCTTATGTGGGTTTACGACAGAAACATCAAACTTATTCTTGGCTTGAAGCTGTTCCACCATTTAGGAGAACACCGGAAAACGGTTCGCTTTGTTCTTGTTGTTGAACGTGATTGTTACTAACTATTTGAGACCTTCCGAAAGGAGTTCCCGATAAGCAAAGGTGGTTTGTCAGGTTATTTCCAACAAAAAAGCTATGGTAATCTTAAAAGTTAGCCCTACTTCCATAACGTCCACTAGCTGGAGTACAATAAGGGATTAAGGAAAAGCGTTAGGTGCTATTCAATTATTTGGGATGCCTGAGAAACTTGATTCCATTCGTAGCACCGCAGATGTGACCGAATGCATATTTCGCCTATACAATGACTTTCAGTAGCCTATCGATCTACCAAATAAGTTTTTATCCTCCCAAATAAGTTTGGCAACAATTAACCGAACGCGGAGAAATGGGGCTTGATTCGCTCAAATTAAAGGATCGAACCAAAGACTATTATACATTGCGGAGCAGTTCTAACCATTGCGGTACAAGCGACTCTATTCTTATCAGAATACGTTTTGTCGAGTCTAGTCGAACAAATAGCAAAATGTTGAGAAGAAATATAACCGGAATAGTAGTTGTATCACATCGTAAATCACGTTGAATGGACGGTTTCAGTGTTGTTCTTTCAACAGTTTCTTAGTAGCATAGGTCACAAATAGCAAACTATAGTGATACCGAATCCCGTGTACCAAAAAGAATGTGGCATTTTTTATAAAGTTAAAAAACCTCTCAGCATCAATCAATCCCTGACGGATGTGCTGTGCATTCGACTTAGTACGCATCCTCGGAGCTGATTGAATGCATATCTAGCCTTTACAATGACTGGCGGTGGCCTACCGATGTATCGAACTGCTCCTAACCTCCCAGACAAGTCTGGTACCAATTTGTGGAGCCCACAGTGATGGAGGGCTTGGTCAGCCTAGGGCACCCGGATCGATCCCATGTGTATTGCGGGGCGCCTCCGACCACTGCGCCACACACAACCCTCATTTTTTCTGGATATTACCAGAAGAGGTCTATATTTATATTACGTTTATCACGTGAATTTCTAAAAGACTGCGACGTTACCAAAACGTTTCTTGATCTCGTAAAACCTCACCATATAGATAAAATTTATGTAAGAACTAAAAGTGGACCTTGAGCAAAGACAAGAAGCACTTTCTTTACATATAAAGTCTTATGTAATTTTGCTTGAGTACGTAATTACTAGCCAACAGACCGATTGAAATTTCCACGGAAACCCTCTCTAAGACTTCGTTAATTCGCCTTCTACTAGCCAAGCAAAACTCAGTTCCCTTTGTTCGGCACTAGATGTCAAACATTTCTGTCGAATACTGTGGCAAATTTACTCACTTCTGGCTTAGCGTTTATAAAGGCATCTCAACAACGACATATTGGATTTCGTTGACAAACTTGTTACGTGTACACTAAATAGAAACGGAGTAGCAACGGAATAACAGAATTGTCGGAAAGGAATTGATAAGAAATACAGTTGATGCAGTTACAGACGATTTGTCTTAGCAGTCGTTTACAACTACAACCAGGACTCTGCCACAGTAGTAAAAATGATGGAGAGATGATAAGAGATTGGAAACTGAAAAAGGTCAGTGAAGCAAGAAAGCCTGGAATGTCTGAGTTTTACGGAATGGTAACGAATAATGATGTAAGTGAAAGGCCATGAATATCGTAAGCCAGTGGTCATTCCACTTGACATGGCAGTGTCTTGAAATAGTTCCCAGGATCGACTTTCTATTAATCTCGGCATTGGAATATGAATGCGTCGTTTTCTTGTTCAGCAATCACGAGGTTTTTAAACAGCATACATTTACTTCCATAGGGAAACACAATGCAATACAACACTAGCTGACGTTTCGGCAGTATCGCCTTCTTCAGAGCCGCTATTTTACGTGACTTCCAATGAGGAAGTTTAGAACAGCTGATTATAGTCGCATATGGTTTCAGAATTTCTGATGTGGGATGGTTCAGTCATCAAGAAGGCGATACTGCCGAAACGTCAGCTAGTGTTGTATTGCATTGTGTTTCCCTATGGAAGTAAATGTATGCTGTTTAAAAACCTCGCGATTGCTGAACAAGAAAACGACGCAGTGTCTTGATATTTCCAGTATGCAATACCTCTATGCAGGGAAGTCACTCTCACATGATGGAACTCGAATATTGTTCTCTTCATGGAAGTTAAGCACAAAAACAACTTCCTACATAGAGTTTGCCTCACACAAATGTGGATTCGTAAGATACTACTGTTTCTCCTGCGCTAGATCAATATACAGCAAATAATGCAACCAGTGTCATAGCAAATACTTGGCCAAATAAACACATAGTGGTTTGTCAACTGTGATAACAAAAAGCACTTAGATAACACTTTTCACTGGCCTGTCTAGCGTTTTCCG